TCTGAATGTATTTTATGAACCCAGCCAATTCTCCCAAGAAACCAGGGGTAACTCAGAAATAAATGTTTCCTATTTTGATGTACTTACACAGCCACAATTAATTTCCATTGTTAAGCAAGACAGTTGTTAAGCGAGTTTTGCCCCAGTTTACGACTTGTCTTTGTAGGAAGTTAGCACCCACCCTTCTCCTAGAAAAACGAGATATTTTAGGAAATATTAAAAGGGCAGATCAAATATTTTGGCCACCTAATGAGAAGGAAGGACTCACTGGAGAAAGAGCCTAATGCTGGGAACGATGGAGGGCAAAAGAAGAAGACGGGACGGCAGAGAACGAGGTGGCTGAATGGAGTCCCTGAAGCAGTCGGCGTGAGCTTAAACGGACTCCAGAAGATGGTAGAGGACAGGAAGGCCTGGAGGAACATTGTCCATGGGGGTCCTGATGGGTGGGACAGGACTTCGCAACTAACAACAACAAAGGGCAGAATATTTCCCCTAAAATCTCAGCCCCACCCCGCTTTGTCAATGGGTCATTAAGGCCTGGGCCAGTCTATTCTACATAACAAAGATCTACCTCCTTGAGGCAGAGCCATATTAGGTTTTTTTTTCTTTTAAATGCCTCTGAGGATCCAAGCTGAGTTGCCTGATCATCAGAGGCATTTAAAAGAAAAAAAGCCTCTGCTGGATCAGGCAACTCAGCTGGGATCCTCAGAGCCTTTTGAAAGCATTTTTTTTAACATCCTCTTCGCTCTGAAGAGGTTGCAGAAAAAAATGCTTTTAAAAGCCTCTGACGATCCCAGCTGAGACGCGCGATCATCAGTGGCTTTTTTTTTTTTTTTACTTTTAAAAGCATTTTTTCGGCCGAAGAGGTTGTAGAAAAAATGCTTTTAAAAGTAAAAAAAAAAAAAGCCTCTGATGATTGTGCGGCTCAGCTGGGCATGGGGGGCGGGCAGGATTTTTGCTACCGGTTCTCCAATCCACCCGCCGCCATCACCACCGGATCGGGGATCCGGTCTGAACCAGGAGCATTTCACCCCTGACTACATGTAATCTTTGCAGGGTGCCTTTCCAATCTCTTGGAACTACAATTCCCAGGGTGCCCTCGGCCATGCTCCCTGGGAATTCTGGGGGTTTGGAAACCAGCTCAGGAGACTAACCTAAAGGGTAAAAATTGCATAACCTTTTTTTTTTTTTAATAAAAAAGGCAGAAATGTTATCACTGCGTTTGGAGGGGAGGAAAAAAATAAAGATTATTTGCTTGGTTTCTCCTTTCCAAGGCGTTTGCAATTATTTTATTTTTATTTTTTTCAACTCAGCCTGGAAAAGGCGAGAGTTTATTAGCCAGGCTTATTGTCCTGAACTCTGTAAAACATCAACTTGCAAAGCAATTATTAAATGCAAGACAAGGGAAGCTTTTGTCCCTACAAAAGAACTAACTTTGTAGCTACAGGCAATTCTCAGCCAGAGGTGGTCAAAAGCCGCCCCCCCCCCCATTTGCTTATCTTCTCCGGAAAAAAAAAAACCTTCCAGCTATTTTTCCAGATGTCACTATCAACTCCAATCAAATCATCTTGAACTTTGGTTGCAGTGTTAAGCCAGGGTTACTTCAGGGCAAAGTTTGAAGTTTGAGAAGCAAATTGTTTTCAGAAACATCAAGAGGCTGGACGGATGCAATTCTACCCCGAGGGAGAACATTTCTAAAACAGCCCTCTTGTGATGCTGAATTAATGGCCGCAAAATGGATGAATGAAACTTATTTTAATGAGCTGAGCAGCCTGGGCTATTGCCAGCCTTTCGAAAGCCAGCTGTGGAAGCCTTTGCCTTTACATCTTTTATTTGTATTTATTTTATTGAGAAGATTTGTACGGCCGCCCGTTTAAAAACAGAATTCTGGCCAGCAGGACAACAACAAAGCTGTTTTCGTTCCCGCTCACTTATAAACAATCCCCCTATAACTTTTTTTTTCTGGTCTAAAGAAAAATGTTATTTTAGTATATTTGACAGTCTCGGACACTCAGGAAAACGAGGGCTGGAGAGAGAGAGAAAAAAAAATGGTATACAGTAACCAGTTATCAAATTTGCAGGCAGTTGCTATAGCCTTGTTTTATGCAAGTAGTCCTCGACTTACGACTATCATTGAGCGCAAAATTTCCATGGCTAAGCAAGAGAGTTCTCAGGTGAGTTAGCCCCACTTTAACGATCTTTCTTGCCATAATTGTTAAGTGAATATTGACTTTGCTTGCCAGAAGGTCGCAAAAGGGGACCGAATGACCCAGGAACACCGCAACGGTCATAAGTATGAGTCGGTGGCCAAGCATTTGAAGTTTGATTAGGTGACCCTGGAGATGTTGCGACGGTCGTAAATGTGAAAAAGGGTCGTAAGTCATTTTTTTCCGGTGACGTTGCAACTTTAAAACGGTCACTAAACGAATGGTTATAAGTTGAGGACTATCTGAAATGACTTGATTGGCACCAGAGGTTTACCTCCATCCTATGGAGTCACATTATTAAAATTCAGTCAGTTGGCATGTATTTACGATGACGGACGCAGCCCCTGGTCCGGTCGTCTCATGATGCCTCATGTAGAACTTTAAAATTCCTGCATATCCAGAAAAAGATCTCAGTGATTAACAGTAACATAGTTGGAAGGGACCTTGGAGCTCATCTAGTCCAACCCCTGCTCACTCAGGACACTTCTACTAGGGATTCGAACCTCCGACCTTTTCTGATCGACGAGCTCAGTGTCTTAGCCACTGAGCCACCTAGTCAGGTGCTCAGCCTCAGTGCTGGCCATTAGATAAAGCGCAGAGCTTGTTACCGCACGTGGAATGAAGGTTTTGCATGCGAGTGTGTGTTTGTGAGTGTGTGAGTGTGTGTTAGTGCAACGGTCAAGCACAGCTGGACGTAAAACAAGGCCGGCCTCAGCTAAATCGGTGCCCTCGTCCCTCTCTTACATGATCAACCCAATTAGGAATTTTGTGGAAGGAGATGCCTTGAGGGGAAACTGTGTGCCAATTGTGTTGCTGGTTTTTTTGTTTTTTTTTTGCAAAGCGAAGTTGTGTGTCGACTTGGCCGCCTGCCTGAAGAGATCTTAGAAAGTCCCTGCTCTGAGCAGTGAGTCAGAGTCACAAACTCCGAATGGCTGTGTGGTTCTCGGCAGCCCAAACCCAGATTCTGCTTTTGATGACCTCCTGTTCAACAGTAACTTTTGACCAACTAAAAATCTAATCGGTCTTCTTGGGCAATTGGGCCAGATAGAATCAGCATGTCGTGTCCCCACCACCACCACACACACACACTCCCTTCTCTCTCTCTTTTTTTCAGATTTAAACTTAAAAACACACACAGATACACAATCACATTGGGGTTCTATGCCACTGTTTTCCAAACTTTAAGATGGGTGGACTTCAACTCCCACAATTCCCCAGTCAGGAAGTCCACACATCTGAAAGATTTCTGGCTGGGGAATTCTGGGAGTTGAAGTCCACACAGCTTAAAGCACACTGGCTGGGGAATTCTGGGAGTTGAAATTCACATTTTCTGTTTAGTGACTGTTCAAAATTACAACAGAACTTAAAAAGTGAGTTATCACTGATCATTGCGGCTTCCAACAAACAAGTTGTAAAATCAGGTGTGTCTCACCTAACAATCACCTGGCTTAGCAAAGGAAATTCTGAACCTAATTGTGGCCCTAAGTTGAGCTTACTATCTGTATTCCATTTTATGTTACGTTATGTTACGTTATGTTATGTTATGTTATGTTATGTTATGTTATGTTATGTTACGTTACGTTACGTTACGTTACGTTACGTTACGTTACGTTACGTTACGTTTCGTTTCGTTTCGTTTTGTTTCATTATTTTATTTTATTTTATTTTCTCCTGCCTCCTCCTATTTTCCCCACAAAAACAACAACTTGTGAGGTGGGTTGGGTTGAGAGAGAAGGACTGGCCCCAAGTCACCCCTATGTCTTTCCGACCTAAGACAGGACTAGAACTCACCAACTCCTGGTGATTGGCCCAAAGTCACCCAATCGCCTTTCACACCTAAGGTGGTACTAGAACTCACAGTCTCCTGGTAATTGGCCCCAAGTCACCCAACCTTCTTTTGTGCATTAGGTGGGACTAGAACTCGCTATCTCCTGGTGATTGGCTCCAAGTCACCCAGCTGGATTTCATTGCTAAGGTGGGACTAGAACTCACAGTCTCCCAGTTTCGAGCCTGGTTTCCTTCACCACCAGATCAAACTGGCTCTCAATTTTGTTGGCTTGTATTTAGTCAGGCGTTGCGTACCAACTGAAGAAATACACGTACAAGAAATAAATGCAAATAAATAAAATAACAATCAAGCGCACCCAATGTCACAGGTAGAATAAGAAGAAAATATGCCCAGCTATATTTGTATGTGTCCTGACATCTCAGAAGCTGCCTCCTTTTCCAGGTTTCCACACCTGGAAAAGGCCGTTTCTTTGCACGCCTAGGAAAGGAACCAGAGCTCGTTGCCACCTGGGAACGGAAGTAGTTTCTTTGCACACCTTTCCCAGGCGGGCAAAGAGCTTGGTGTGCAAAGAAACTGCCTCCTTTCCCAGATGTGCAAAGAAACTGCCTCCTTTCTCAGGTGTGCCAAGCGCTTGGTGTGCGAATAAAATGCCTCCATTTCCAGTTGTGCAAAGAGCTTGATGTGCAAAAAACAAAACAAAACCTCCTTTCTCAGGTGTGCAAAAAAATTCCCTCCTTTTCCAGATGTGCAAAGAGTTCTGTGCACAAAGAAACGGCCTCTTTTTCCAGTTGTGCAAAGAGCTGTTATTTCTTTCCCTCTTTTTTTCACCCTGGAGATGTCAGGGTTAAGCCAACGTGTGCAAGTGGTGATGGAGATTAAACTTTGTCCCCAATGCCACCATGGCAAACTTTTTTCTTTCTTTTTTTGTTGTTGTTCTTCCAGCTGCTGACTCTGCCAGGGCCGCCCCTTTCCTCCACCCCCCACCCACCCCCCAGGCTGAGCTGGTTATTTAAAAGTCTGCGGAGGAGAAGAGCTCCCAGGACAAACTTCCCGGGAGTCGGCAGAAAGGGAGGTGAAAATCTAGCAGAATTCATTGGCCACTCGGTGGGTTCTTGTTTTTGGCTCTTTGCATCATTTTTTCCCCTTCCCTGGGATGGTGGCTGGTTGCAAACTGGGTTAGAAACAGGAGTGAGGGGTGGGGGTTGAATACCCCCTCACTCCCCCCCCCACCCAGGGCAGATGGTAATTCTAGCCAGTGATAGCAATACAAATGCAGAAACCTTGAAGGAAGCAAACAGAAATTAGGATCTAATGGGGTTTCTTGGATGAATCTAGATTCTTGTTGAATCTAGCAGTGCAGAAATGTCATTTCTGGGTTATCATAGAATAAAACGGAATAACAGGACAGAATAAAAATAGAGCTGAGCCTGGATCTGGGGGAATTTGGGGAGAGGTCTTAGGGTCCAAATTTCTGGGGGGTGGGGGCGAGAGTGGAAAAGAAATCTCTCCTTCTCATTTCCCCTAAATTCATCCCTTAACCTGTTGTGCTTCTCTCTCTTTTTTCCCCACCCAAGGGATCGATCCATCACCATGAAACTCTTCGCTCTACTCTTCGCCGTGGGGCTGCTGAGTGGTAAGTAACCAAATTGAGGTGTGCAGTTCTTTGAAGGAAGGGAGGGGGGGGAGATAGAAAAATAAGTAAGCCGTCTGTTTTTAAAAACCGTGTTTTGGTTCCCTTGAATGCCGTTGGCATGTAGACGATGCCTCTCCTTCGCAGAGAGGTGGAGCTTCCATAGACAGTGGCAGGGTAGCTCTGAGTTCTCAGGCAACACTGAATAAGAGAATAACCGAGTCGGGAAAGGACCTTGGAGGTCTTCTAGTCCAACCTGGAGCAGGAGAAGCCTATAGCAGTTCGGACGAATGGCTGTCCAGTCTCTTCTTGAAAGCTTCCAGTGATGGAGCACCCTAGAGTTAATTCTTAATTATTCTCACTCTATGGAAATTTCTTCTTAGTTCTAGGTTGGTTCTCTCCTTGATTAGCTTCCAGCCCTCCGTAGTTAAACAGGAGATAAAAATGAGGGGGGGGGGTCTCTGGGCAGGAGGAGGGTCTCCGTAAGGGTCTTTGTCTCTAAACACCGGAAGATGGACTGGCTGAATTTATTTCCCAAACCACCAGACAAGGAATAATGGCTGGAAACTTAGAAATAGAGGAGATTCAACTTAGAAATAAGGAGAAATTTTCTGATAAGGAGAACAACCAACCAAAATGGAATAGAAAATGAGTTCAGAAGTTGTGGGAGCTTCATCGCTCGAGGCTTTCAAGAAGAGACCGGACTGCTACCTGTCCGAAATGGTGCAGGGTTTCCTGCTTGGGGCAGGGGGGAGGGGGTTGGACTAGATGACCTACAAGGTCCCTTCCAACTCTCTGTTATTCTGTCTTCTTCTAAGTATGGTTTGATCCAGAGGGACTTGACTTCCCACAATATGCTAGACTAGGCTCAGATATGACCGAATAGAGAATAGAATAGAATAGAATAGAATAGAATAGAATAGAATAGAATAGAGTAGAGTAGAGTAGAGTAGAGTAGAGTAGAGTAGAGTAGAGTAGAGTAGAATAAGTAGAGTAGAGTAGGGTAGAGTAGAGTAGAATAAGTAGAGTAGAGTAGAGTAGAGTAGAGTAGAGTAGACTAGAAGAGAAAAGAGAAGAGAAGAGAAGAGAAGAGAAGAGAAGAGAAGAGAAGAGAAGAGAAGAAGAGACTAGAAGAGAATAGAATAATAGAATAGATTTTTTTATGGCCAAGTGTGATTGGACACACAAGGAATTTGTCTTGGTGCATATTTTGTGGGAAGTCAATGAACAGTGTATTGCCGTATAGCAGGACGTCCTTTTTTAAATGAAAGATGGCGTTTAGGTAGTCCTCGACTTACAACACTGAAAAAAAAAACAGACTTATGAAAAGAGTCCTCGCACTTAGAACCGTCGCAGCCTCCCTGCAGTCACGTGATCAAAATCCGGACACTTGGCAACTGGCATGTACTTATGTCTGTTGTAGCATCCTGGGGTCATGTGATCACCACTTGTGATCTTCCTTCCGACAAGCAAAGTCAATGGGGTTGGGGGTGTGTGGGGTAAACAGAATTTGAGTCATGCTTGAATACTGAAGAACTAAGTATTTCATCAGACTCCAGTAAATGACACAGGCCTGAATTCCAGTCTGTTTCCTGTCTCCCATCTAGCCTCTGGGACTCCCTGCCACAACAAAGCTCTGCGATAAGTGAGGGCATCCTGCATAAGGACAGGAGGGCACTGTAGTTAACCACAGGGGAAAAAACACACACCAGGAAGCAGTTTCTTGTTGTGGCTTGCCCTGCTTGTGTAGTAGAACCTGGGCTGCTCGCTATATTTCAACTTTTAGCCTACCTTGCAGGGTTATTGTGAAGATAAAGGAGCAGGGGTGGGTGGGGGAAGGGATAAAAAATTAAGAAAAGGTTCGACAAGGCCAACGTTGCTTAGGCAGGAGGGGGTGGGCTGGATTTAGGAGAAAGAGGAGGAAGAATTTCAGCCAAAGAAAGTTCCAATAAAGGAGAATATTTGTAGCTCAGGGTTGAAATGAGATATTTAGTCTTAGCACTGATGAGGTTATCTAGTTGGGTCGTGAAATGTCTCCAAGAAAACGACCAAGCTCAGAGAACACCGAGGTCCCCTCAAATTATCACTTGCTATAGATTGCTATGGATTAATCTGAGCCTTCCTTCCTTTCCTCTGAGCTGATTCCTTCCAGATGTGCTGGAGTTCAGGTCCCATAATGCCCAGCTAATGTGGCCACGATAGCTACAGGATTATGGGACCTGGTGCAGCGTTTCTAGAGGGCGCCAGATCAGGGAAGACGGTGGCATTCGTTGCAAAGTTGACAATCGTACTTGGAGTACCGACACCTCCTCAAGAAACTACTTAGTCCAACTACTTACTTGGTCCTACAGAGGACCAAGGGCGTGCTTTCTGGTCGGCGGGTCCTGAGTTCGAAACGTCCCAATCGAGACATCTATTCCTTTTTGTCCCCCCCATTATTTGCGTGCAGCCTCCTGGGCCAACCCCTTCTTTCAAGACGAGCCAAAATCCAAATGGGAGGAAATGGTGAATGCCTTCTGGGGTTACGTCACCAAGGCCGCGAACGTGGCGGATGACATCACTGCCCAGATCAGGACCTCGCAGCTCAACAGGGAACTGGAGTGAGTGTTTTTGTTATTTTTTAATCCCGCCTTTATTATTTTTATAAATAACGCAAGGCAGTAAACAAAACGGAGAGTCCTTCCTCTCCCTGGTTTCTCCACAACAACAACAACAACAACCCTGAGAGGTGGGTTGGGCTGAGAAGGAAGGGCACTGGCCCAAAGCCACCCAGCTGGTTTTCATGGCTAAGGCGGGACTAGAACTCACCGTCTCCTGGTGATTGGCGCAAAGTCACCCAGCGGGCGTTCATGCCAAAGGTGGGACTAGAACTCTCCGTCTCCTGGTGATTGGTCCAAAGTCACTCAGCAGGCGTTCATGCCAAAGGTGGGACTAGAACTCTCCGTCTCCTGGTGATTGGCGCAAAGTCACCCAGTCGGCTTTCATTTTATTTATTTATTTATTTATTTATTTATTTATTTATTTATTTATTTATTTATTTATTTATTTATCAATCAATCATATTTGTATACTGCCCTACTCCCGGAGGACTCAGGGCGGTGAACAGCCAAGATAAAAATACAAAGAACATACAAAAGTTAAAAAACTATTAAAAACAGATTAAATAATTTGGGCTCAAAAAACAAATTTAAGACATCCAATTTATCTAAAAACATTTAAAACCCAATTTAAAAGGGAGAGTTAGGCCAGACCAGCCTGTTGGAATAAAAACGTTTTTAGGGCGCGGCGGAAGATGCGTAAGTCTTGGATCCTCCGTATCTCCGGGGAGGAGCTCGTTCCAGATGGCAGGTGCCCCCACAGAGAAGGCTCTCCCCCTGGGGGCTGCCAGTTGACGTTGTTTGGCCGACGGCACCCTGAGGAGCCCTTCTCTATGGGAGCGAACTGGTCACTTTTCATGCCAAAAGTGGGACTAGAACTCCCTGTCTCCTAGTGATTGGCCCAAAGTCACCCAGCAAGCTTTCATGCCAAAGGTGGGACTAGAACTCTCCGTCTCCTGGTGATTGGCGCAAAGTCACCCAGTGGGCTTTCATGCCAAAAGTGGGACTAGAACTTCCTGTCTCCTAGTGATTGGCCCAAAGTCACCCAACACGCCTAAGGCTTTCATGCCTAAAGTGGGACTAGAATTCACCACCTCCTGGTGATTGGCCCAAAGCCCCCAGCCGCCTTTCATGCCTCAGGCAGGACTAGAACTCCTGGCTTCCTAGTTTCTAGCCTGGTCCTTCACCATTCCTAAACCGACCTGGCTCTCTTAGACCAAGAACATAGCTATGTAAATATGATGCATCTCAGGAATTGACCCCCTTGGCTTCTCTTGTCTCCTCAGTGGCCTTATCACCGACACCATGGCTGAGGTGGAAGTCTACACGGATGACCTGCGTTCCAAATTTGGCCCCTATACCCAAGAACTACAGGACCGCCTGACGAACGAAGTGTCCACCCTCACCGGGAAGTTGAGAAACGACATGGAGGAGACCAAGGGCAAGCTGCTCCAATATTGCCGAGACACCCGCCTGATGATCGACCACAACGTGGACACGGTGAAGTCCCAGTTCAACCTCTTGATGCGCAAGCTGAAGAAACGTCTCACCAAGGACGCCGAGGAACTGCGTCAGAAGCTGGGGACCTACGCCCAAGAGCTGAGAACCAACACCGACGAGAAAGTCAGCTCCGTCCGCCAGAACCTGGAGCCCTACGTCTCCAACATCCGCGAAAAGGGACAGGAGAGAATCCAGGCCCTGCAACAAGCCATCGGAGAGCAAAGCCAAATGGTCCACCAGCAGCTCAGCAGCCGCGTTCAGGAGCTCCAGAACCAGTTCCAGGAGAAACTTCAGGAGGTGAAAAGCGCCTTTGACCAAGCCGTTGACAAACTCCGCCAGTTGGTCAACCCTCTTTTGGAGGACATGGGCATCCAAGCCGAGACCGGGGTGGAGGAGATCAACCAGGAGGCATAAGATGGCCTTCAGCAAACCCTCCTAATTTGTCTCCTTGGAAACCAAACTTGAGGGCCTCTTGGTTGAGATGGGTCTTGATAGGCCAGCCATGTATTAACCTAACCTTCCCAACTGGCTGAGAGCCCTCCAGATGTGTGGCATGATGTCCTCCAGCATTGGGCTTGCAAGCCGACACATCTGGAGCACGCCAGATTGTTTTTTTGGGGGGGGGAGAGACTGCACTAACCTCATGCTTCTTTTTGCACAAGCCCCATCGTCCCCTTGAATGAAGAGTCTGCCATTCGGCCCTCTTAACCATCTCTCCCCCTTTCCAGTCTCGTATTAACCCAAGTTCTGTGTTGCACTTGTGAATTCTTCCTAGGAAGATCCTGGAACGATTCCTGATGCCCGTTTCCCCTTCTTACTGTAACATCTTGCATTCCAGATGTGTCACCCACCATCCTTCTTTAGCTTTACTGGTGTTTTGATCTGTAACAATAAAATATACTTTGGATATGAATCTCTCTTGGTCACTTGGCATTTTTTTTCTGCTTGGGATGGGTACGGACCTCAACCTAGGAACACTTTTGCAGAGGGGAAATAAAGATTTAATGGCAGGTGCTGTGTCCTGTTCCCATTCCAGAACAGAACGGGGTATTTTTTTTAAAAGCCTCCTTTCCATCTCTACAACCTGTAGCAAAAACCTTGGCCTGAAAACTGCAGGAATGGCAGAGTCTGACATGATAGAATGGAAGAAATGCAGACTCACAAACTGGAATAGAATAGAATAGAATAGAATAGAATAGAATAGAATAGAATAGAATAGAATAGAATAGAATAGAATTCTTTATTGGCCAAGTGTGATTGGACACACAAGGAATTTGTTTTAGGTGTCTTAGGTGTACATAAGGAGAATAAAATACATTCATCAAGAATAAAAAGATACAACACTTAGTGATATTCAAGGTTACTAATAAGCTATCAAATCGTACTTAAGAAATAAATAAAAACAATATAAGTTGAAAGACGCAAGCAACATGGTTATAGTCATAAGTGGGAAGAGATAGATACTAGTAAGGAAGAGAAGAATAATAGTAATACGGTCTTAGCAAATTATTTGACAGTGTTGTGGGAATTAGTTGTTAAGCATTCGGGGGAAAAAACTTGTGTCTTGTGTCTAGTTGTTCTGGTGTGCAGTGCCCTATAGCGTCGTTTTGAGGGTAGAAGTCAAAACAATTTATGTCCAGGAGGTGAGGGGTGTGTAGATATTTTCACAGCTTTCAATTCACAAATTGAAAGAAAGGAGAAAAAAAGGAAAGAAAAAAGTGAAGAGAGATAGAAAAAAGAAACATCCGAAGAGAAAAAGTCCCGAAGAAACCAAAAAGGGCTTATAAAGAAGCGATTCTCCATCTTTAGAGCAGTTGCAAGCATCCTTACTCTTCCCTATTTAAAAGTTTAAAATATCTTTCCCTTCTTCCCACATTCAGCCCTCTTTGATCAGCAAATCCATAAATCACCAGATCAAAATAATCTGCTTTTGTAATGTTTGGCCCTGCCAACAGACTCCCTGAAGAAATATTTTAGAGGTTAAAAAAATGTTGGAGGTTATCTACATTGTCTTATTGAAGAACGATGCTAGTCCAATTACAGGTAACCCTCGACTTACAACAGCTCATTTAGTGACCATTCAAAGTTACAATGGCCCTGATTTACAACCAATTTTCATGCTTATGACCCTTGCAGCATCCCTATAGTCACCTGAACAACATTTTGGATGCTTGATAACTGGTTCATAATGGGGCAAAACTCATTTCTCACTTAGCGACATAAATGGTGGTCGTAAGGCTACCTGTGCAGCGATTTTACTTTTTTTTAAATTTGGCTTTCATTTTTTTAAAAAAGAGAGATCTTAGCAATATGTTTTGATCGACGACTGGAGGCAAAAACATATGAAGAACGGTTGCAGGAACTGGGTATGTCTAGTTTAATGATAAGAAGGACTAGGGGAGACATCTGGATCGGAGTGTTTAAAAAAAAAAAACCTACAAAAAGCAGTTAATTTTACTGATTTCTTTTAGCTGGCTGCCTCCTTTTGATTTAATTCAGAATGATGAGCCCCAGATAATAAAATAGGGGGTATGTGACAAGCATGTCTTTAGCCATCCGAAATGTGATTTTATTTTATTTTCTAATTTAGTGCATTTGGCAAAACCATCCTTTCGAAAGCGCAGCACAAATCTTATTTCCCAAGATTTAACTTTTCGGTTAAATTTCTCAACATTGCTAGGGAAGGTGGTATCAAACCTGTTTTAAACTGATGTAAAATTGCAAAATAAGTGTGTTTTAAGGGAGGAGCCGGCAAGTCAGATTGTTAAAAACAGGTTATTCTGTTATTATGACAAAAATGGTTTCATTTAGAATTTTTTACTGATTTAATTTACATATTTCACTGGAGAAAAAGAGAAGAGAGATTTACTGCGGGACGGGCGTGCCAAAAAAAGGTGCAAATGATAATGCTTTGGTAAGACCACATCGGGAATATTGCATCCAGTTTGGTCACCTCGATGTAAAAAAAGATGCTGAGACTCTAGAAAGAGTGCAGAGGAGAGCAATGAAGATGATTAGGGGACTGGAGGCTAAAACATATGAAGAACGGTTGCAGGAACTGGTTATTGTCTAGTTTAATGAAAAGAAGGACTAGGAGTGACATGATAGCAGTCTTCCGATATCTCAGGGGCTGCCACAAAGAAGAGGCAGTCAAGCTATTCTCCAAAGGACCTGAGGGCAGGACAAGAAGCAACGGATGGAAACTAACCTGAGTGGCGTAGGAGGCTAATGCCTCCTACTAAGGCAGCATTTAACATCCAGCTGCCTGCAATTACTGCGAGTTCAATTCTCACCAGGCTCAAGGTCGACTCAGCCTTCCATCCTTTCTAAGGTGGGTAAAATGAGGACCTGGTTTGTGAGGGCAATAAGCTGATTTTGTATAAAAATATACAAAAGTATGAAGGCTATTGCTTAACGCCTTGTAAATCACCCTGAGTCTCCGGAGAAGGGCAGCATATAAAAATAAATAAATAAATAAATAAATAAATAAATAAACAAACAAACAAACAAACAAACAAACAAACAAACAAATAAATAAATAACCAAGGAGAGAAGCAATCTAGAACTAAGGAGGAATTTCCTGAGAACAATTAATCAGTGGAATAACTTGCCTCCAGAAGTTGCGAATGCTCCAACATTGGAAGTTTTTAAAGAAGAAATCGGATCTTTGTCTGAAACGGGATAGGGTTTCCTGTCTGAGCTGGGGGATGGACTAGAAGACCTCCAAGGTCCCTTCCGACTCTGTTATTCTATAGTTGCAATTGTGCAATGGAAGACCTGTTTCTTGCACACATGACACACCTAAAAAGGGCTTTAATTGGGCAAGTGTGTCCTTCATCTTGATTTGTTCAACCCTCCCTGTGAGAATAGGTGCAATAGGAACAGTATCTGATATGTTTTATTATCACTTTAATTAATGCCTTGAATAGCCAAATAAATTCAGATTCAAATCAGTCCCGAGTTGCGGAGAAATGGCTGAGCTAAAGTCCTGTGGTGGTTTCCTTGCTTTGGAATCAGGCTGTCATGAAAACTCAGCCTCTGTGACTTGTAAACTATGATTTGTGGCTTAAAATCATCAATTAAGCCAGCCCATTATTGGCTGCTTCAATTGACCCTGGCTTAATGCTACGTGTGTGCATCCAACTGAAGAGAAAGGGAAGCGCTTTCTTGCAAAAAGTGAGACGGGGATGGGAAGGAGATAAAAAAATATCTCCTTGCCAGAATTTGTCAGATGAGTGGATTTCAATTCCCAGAATTCCTCAGCCAGTTGAAATCCACCGATGCTGGTTAGGGAATTCTGGGAGTTAAGCTCCACAGGTACTGGCTAGATAATTTTGAAAGTTGAAGTCTACAAATGTTGGCTAAGGAATTCTGGGAGCTGAAGTCCACAGATGCCAACTAAAGAATTCTGGGAGCTGAAGTCCACAGATGCTGACTAAGGAATTCTGGGAACTGAGATCCACAGATGCTGACTAAGGAATTCTGGGAACTGAGATCCACAGATGCTGACCAAGGAATTCTGGGAGCTGAAGTCCACAGATGCTGACTAAGGAATTCTGGGAACTGAAGTCCACAGATGCTGACTAAGGAATTCTGGGAACTGAGGTCCACAGATGCTGGCTAGATAATTTTGGAAGTTGAAGTCTACAAATGTTGGCTAAGGAATTCTGGGAGTTGAAATCCATAGATGCCACCTAAGGAATTCTGGGAACTGAGGTCCACAGATGCTGGCTAGGGGATTCTGGGAGTTGTAGTTCACACATCTTAAGGTTAAGAAATACCATTGTAACCAGAAGGAAGGAAAGGGAAGGGGAAAAAAATTAAATTTTCAGCATCCTGTCTGCCAGTTCAACTGAGTGTCCTTTTCCCACTTTCCTTCATGGATGAGCGACAGTTGTGTCGATCCTTGTTCAAGTCCAGCCAAAACCTTTCCTCCACTTTTCCTCTCCTTTCCCACAAGATAAGACGTCTAGCTTGCCACCCACAACTGTCTTCTCACTTCGGCAACCACAACGCTGAGCTGTCTTGAAATGTTCTCCACACCCAGAGGAGGCCTCAAAGTGAACAAGCTGAACTTGAACCCAGCCTCAACAAAACAGCCCCTGTTTTGTGGTTTTCCAAGCTTATTGGACTACAATGCCTTTCATTCCCAGCTAACATGGGCCCTGATGCTTGGGAAGGGTCCAACACCTCTGGAGCGTGAAAGGTTGGACCAAAAATTATAAAATTACAGGTGGTTTACCCGTCTTTAAACTGATCTCACAAGATACAGGTAATCGTTGACTTACAACAGTTTGTGTAGTGACCGTTCTTAAAAACTTATGACCGTTTTTTCACACTTATGACTGTTGCAGAGCCCCATGGTCATGTAATCAAAATCCAGGTGCTTGGCAACTGACTTGTACTTATGACAGTTGCAGTATCCTGGGGTCATATGATCACTTTTTGCTACCTTCTGCCAAGCAAAGTCAACGGGGAAGCCAGATTCACTTAACAACCTTGTTACTAACTTAACAACGGCAGTGATTCGCTTAACGACTCTGGCAAGAAAGGTCATAAAATGGGGCAAACCTCACTTAACAGCTATCTCGCTTAGCAACAGAAATTTTGGGCTCAATTGTGGTCATAAATTGAGGATTATACCTCTCATTGGTTTCACCAGAGGTCACGGGCTAAACCGCAGTCAGACATAAAGGAAGCCACAAAAAGTGGTTTATCAAACACCAATGTGAGTTCTTGCAAGATGCTAAGCTGACCAAGCAAATTTAACGTGCATAGTTTTTCTTATGTATGATGTACCCTGAAGATGGCATTGAGTTTCGTTCTACGAGGTACAATGAAAAATAAAAGTAAACTAATTCATGTGAAAGCTAAATCATGATGGCTTAGCGCAGTGATGGCTAACCTTTTTGC